TCTCTCTCTCTTTCTCTCTATCTATCTATCTATCTATCTATCTTCTCTCTCTCTCTTCTATGTAGGTGTGTGTGTGTGTGTGTTTCTCCCTCTCTGTGCCTTTCTCGCTCTCACAGACAAACACACACACCAACCCACCCCCATTCACTCCAACCCACCCCCACTCCCCCTACCCACCTCCATTCACTCCAATCCACCCCACTCACTCTAAACCCACCCCCACTCACTCCAAACCCACCCCCACTCACTCCAACCCACCCCACTCCCCCTACCACCCCTCGAAGGTGAAAGGTTATGAGATCGGATTCATCAACGTAAGAGTTCCGTGATGTTGCAGAAAGAATGATGTTGCAGAGAAGAGCAATGGCACGGGAAGATAAATGGAAGAAAGGAAAAGAAAATTAAAATGTGGAAAAGAGAGAACGGAGAAGGAAGGAGGGAAGGAGAGAGAGAGGAGGGGGGGGGGAGAAGGAGGAAGAAGAAAGGAAAAGGAAATTGTGGAGAAGAGGAGAGGGGAAGGAAGGAGGAAAGGAAAGAAGGAAAATGTGGAGAAGAGAGAAAGGGGAAGGAAAGAAGGAAGTAAGGAGGGAAGGAGAGAGAGAAAGAGGCAGGAAGGAGGGAAGGAAAAGGAAAATGTGGAGAAGAGAGAGAGGAAGGAAGGAGGTAAGGAGGGAAGGACAGAGAGAGAGGGGACGGAGGAGGAAAGGAAAGGAAAATGTGGAGAGAGAGAGAGGAAGGAAGGAGGGGAGGAAGGACAGAGAGAGAGGGACGGAAGGAGGAAAGGAAAGGAAAATGTGGAGAAGAGAGAGAGGGAGGAAGGAGGAAGGAGGAGGAGAGAGAGAGAGAGGAGAGGTAGAAGAGAACAGATGGGAGGAGGGGAGGTACAGAGAGAGAAAGGGAGAGAGGAATAGGGAGGAAGGAATTATGCTAAGAAGAAAGAAAGGAAAAGGAAAAGTGTCTTGAAAAGCAAGAGGAAAAGCAAAAAAAAAAAAAAAATGAACATCCATAAAACAAAACATGAAAAACAAGGAAAAGAACGACAAACAAAGAACATAAAAAGAATAAGAATAAGAAAAAAAATAAAGAACGCGTGACAACATTCATACCTCTTGTGGTACAATCATCCCCCCTTTTTTTTTTTTTTTTTTTTTTTTTTTTTTTTTTTGTTTCTCATGAGCGAGTTGGAAGTACGGGAAAGCAATTCGTACTATGATGATCATTATTGCAAAGTGCATACTCTTCCGGCGCGTTATAATGGCCAGCGTCGTCCTCCCGCTTCCTTCTGTTTACATGACACGTCCACTTGCATGAGGGGGGGGGGTGAGGGGGAGGAAGGGGAGTGAGGGGAGGAAGGGTTGGAGGGGTGAGGGGGGTAAGGAAGGTGGGGGGGGAGGAAGGAGGGGGAAGGGAGGGATGGTGGGGTGAGGGGAGGGAGGAAGGAGGGGGAAGGGTTGGAGGGGTGAGGGGGGGTAAGGAAGGTGGGTGGGGGAGGAAGGAGGGGGAAGGGGAAGGGATGGTGGGTGAGGAGGGGAGGAGGGGGAGGAAGGAGGGGGAAGGGAGGTGCGTGAGGGGGGAGGAGGGGGAAGGGATGGAGGGGGAGGGGGGAGGAGGGGGAAGGGAAGGTGCGGAGGGTTAAGGGAAAGGGGTGAGGGGGTAAGGAAGGGGAGTGAAGGGAAGGAAGGAGGGCGAGTGAGGGAGAGAGGTATTGAAAGGAGGGGAAGGGGGGAGGATGGAAGAGGGAAGAAGAAGGGGGAGGGGAAAAGAGGAGGGAGGGTGGGAAGGGCGAGAAAGAGAGAGGAGAGAAGGAAAAGAATAAGACAGGTATGAATGGGCAATACACCCACCCTCTAGAAAGAAAAAGAAAAAAGATAAACAAGGATAATAAATACGTAGAAGGAAGAACGGAAGAAAGAAAACAACAAACACGTGTCTCTTCGCGGGACAAAGTAAGCTTTTGTACCTCACAATTCATGAACAAAACTCAACCACCGGAACAGGAGGTAAGGAGTGAAGGGGGAGGGGGGGGGGATGAGAGTGAGGGAGGAGGGAGAGTGAGTGAGAGGAAGCGGGAGTGAGGGGATGAGGGAGAGTGAGTGAGAAAGAGAGAGTGAGTGAGAAAGAGAGAGTGAGTGAAAGAGAGAGAGAGAGAGAGAGAGAGAGAGAGAGAGAGAGAGAGAGAGAGAGAGAGCAGAGAGAGAGAGAGAGAGAGAGAGAGCGCGAGGAGAGAGAGAGAGAGAGAGAGTGAGTGAGTGTGAGTGAGTGAGTGAAAAAAGAGAGAGAGAGACTTTTTTGACTTTGACAAGTTTATTGAGACGATGAGCGAAAAAAGGGCAAGAAAAAGAGATCCGAAAAGTACACATTTAGAAAAATCC